AATGTCGAGATCTCAGGCGGCAGGAGGCCGGAGCTGAGTTAGATATTGCTGTTATATTATGCTGACTTGTTGGATGCTGGTTATGCATGCTGCTTTATGCTTTTAGATTCAGTTTATGATTGTATATCATCTTGTTGAGACGTTGTTGATTTGGTGAGCATGGAGATTGTCCATGACACATAGTCTTGTTTATGTCTTGTTTTATTTGGAGTTGTAATAATGTATCAGGATTATGGTCTGGACTACGAGTTGTAGATCCGTGATTTTAGATACGCACTTTATTTATATATTGAGGTATATCAGTAGATGTCTTATTGCAATTTACATACAGGCGATGTTTTTATGAAATTGATTAAGTAATCAACTTGGCTAAGTATATGACGTCATAATTGGAAAAGAAAAAGATATTCCACAATTTTTATTAAGCACAGCTTAATACGATGTAATGTTAACAAACCGGTATACACGGAGTGTTACAGCAAGCACATTGTTTGTTCAAGTAGAGTATATCATGCCCTGCCGTGTCATTTTCCATCTCGTCTTGGTCGTCCATCCAGGCATGCAGGTATTTTTCAAATCCAAATATTGTTATGATTGTGATTATTGAGTAGATTTGGTTTTGATTGTGATAAAAAATATCCCTAACCAATTGATTGAAATTTTTGTTGCTCTTCTTTCAATATGATAGAGTGAACTTAATCTTGTTTTGTAATCATATAACTAATGTCGTGTTTTGTATGGAACATTAGTGCACACCAAGTGTTCACGATAATTCCTACATGGGAAAGATAGGGTTTATGGTTACTTTTGGAGTTAATTAATTTTAATGTTTTACTATGATATAAAGGTGAATGAAATGTTCAACTCGAGACGCAACTATTAGAGCTATGATCTAAGAATAGAAAGAAAATAAAGAAGGAAAATGAAAACTAGTTTATTTCTCTGCATAATTCTTTATACAACGATTTATCCCTCTTTTATACATCAATATTCATATTCCCTTAACAACCCTTCCAACTAAATACAACAAAATCTACTATCAACTTGAATAACTTATAACCAATATTGTTGCACAACTTTCCCAACCAATCGCAATTGCAACTACATGGAGGAACTGAACACATATGACGTAAACCAATGTTACATATTCAACAATTTGAAAACAATAAAAGAGATCAACGGGGCCGAATAGAGTTTGAAACTCAATGAATAGTGATTTTGACCTCAGTTGCATAATATTGATATAAGACATATTGGTACTATTTATAAGTGTATCTATAACTCCATGTCGTTATTGAAGATTGTCAAACTCATTACTAATAATACTAACTAACCATTGCATAATAGAACCTAACTAACTTTGTTGAAACTAACTTCTCCAATTGAACGTAATATCACCCAACCCTAAGAAATTGATCTTATTTTCAAGGTCCAGTTACAAGTGAAAACTTGTTCATCCGTACTCGCATGGTAGAGGTGGTTGGCTAAATTATCCTTTTGCCGTAGCATAATTTGAATGCGCAAACATCCTCAACTCTAGCAAATTGCAGAATCTTTTTGGGAACAACAATAATTCCATAACTATAAAGAGCCTCCTGAACCATGTATATAGTTATAGAACCACACTTCTCACTGACCTTGTAGGGAATAATGGAGAGCTTGGACAAAATGATGGCATCCTTGACAAGTGAATCCTCATTGGTGTTGCCCTTTGAAACAAACACAATGTTTCTCGTAACATGAAAAATGGAGGCAGAATTCTATGTTGAAACAAAATTAGAATTCCTTGGAGCAAATAATTAAGGATATGGATCTAGAATGGGCTTCTTTGTGTAAGACACGTAGGGACGAATCTCCACTGCATGCAAAATGACCGGGACTTGCTACACCTACTCCTTAAGCAAGGATAAGAGCTCCTGCAAATTCATGGTAGCAATAAAGCTTGAAAATGTGGACTGCAACAATGAACATGGATCAACCGTGACTTTATTTCCTTGGTTGTGTGAGGTAAGTCATCATGTGAGGTTCAAAAGCTTTAGTAATAGACCAGGTTCCTCAAGTTCCTTCTTCTCTCCAAAGACTGATTCTCTTCTACCTTGGAGCTTTATGCATTCTAGACCCTTCTTCTCAGACACCCTTCTTAGTCAGGGTTACAGTTAGAGTAGGGGTAAGAAAAGCAAAAGCAAATCAAATGGTGATAGGACTCGTAGAAACACTCTTCTTTTTGTCCCTCGTTGTAAGAACCCGCACCGTTAATTAAGGAAATTAATCAGTTAATTATGAGTTTAATGAGATAATTCCATAATTGACCATATTAATTATTATGAGGCTCTAATAATTATAGTAAGTGAGTAATAATGCTGAAAGTCATTTTTCTGACGAAAAGTGCAGATACCGGTTCTGCTAGTCGGTATAAATGCGTACCGAAAAAGTATCCCAGAAAATTATAAAAAGTACATGATAATTACTAGAATAATATGTAGGACTTGTAAAACGAGTTTCAAGTTAAAATAACGAGAACTGGCGCCAGAAACTGATACTGGCTATGAAAAACGCGTACCGGAAAAGGTGCTCCGAAAAATATAAGAAAAATATGATAATTCTTATAAAATTGAGTAGGTTAAGAATCCTGAGTTTGGGATTAAAATGCTAAGCGTAGCATTTAAAGCTAATATTGTGTGTTAGTGACTTAAACCTCCTATATATAGTGCTTGGCACTAAAACCTAGGCTGATACTCAGCCATTTGGACATGAATGGCTGCTGGTGGCTGCTGCTCTCTGCCTTCTCCACCATTTCTTGACCTTCCTTGTAGCTTTTCTTCACATTTCCTTCACCAATCATCCTTGTGTGAGTGAGATAGAGCCTTGGGAGTGGGTGCATGGGAGACCTTCTTGCTGAGTTGGAGCTGCTGTGTGAGGGGTTGTGGTTGCTGCCTCTGTGTTTGTGGAGGGAGTACACCTTTGGCTTGGCATTTGTGGTGCCAAGTAGTCACTTTTTGGTGCAAGAACCAACCTTTGGTGGAGCATCTTCGTTTTGGAAACAAGTCAGAACCTTGGGAGTTGGTTGTGAGCTCCAAGAGCCTCCCATTTTTGAGTTTGAAGCTTTGGTGAGTTGCCTAACCTTGATCATGAGTTTAAATGATTTAAAGGTGGTGTCTTTGCATGTAAATGAGTTAAGCAAGTAACTAACATGTGTATGAACCTGTATAGACATAAAAATGGAGTCTTGAACGCATTTAATTGGTAAAAGTTGGACCTTTGTTGGATATCTTCGCGAAATGCAGAAACTGCATTCTGTCGCGAAATATCCGGATATTTGGTCGATAAATATCCGAATATTGATATCCGGATATGGGGATCTGAATATTCGGATATCGATATCCGGATATTGCCAGTGAGATATCCGGATATTGATATACGGATATGCCCCCGACAGATATCCAGATATTCTAGGTTTGCGAGGAACAGTAGCTTACTGTTCAACCAAAACTGATGTTTGGGGGTTTGTGGACCCTAGATTAATGAAGTTGAACTTCTGTAATAATTGGACTAAGTCAGAATCAAGTGATTAAGGGCTTATGGCTTTGTGGGAAGCCTTAAGACGTAAAACGTAAAAGGAAAACATAGTCTTTATGTTTATGCTATTGAGCTATGAATGTTGATATGCTTGCTGGTCCTAAATCAGATTGTGATCTGCTGTGTTTGGACATTGAGCTTGTGTGGACTTGACTTGGATTGATTGCTTAAGAGGTAAGCTTTCGTGTCCTCGGTTTAGCCATGTTGTGGTTCCACCATGTCCCTTGGGGGTATGGTTATATGCATGCTGTGTTACATGCTTTGAATATTTGAAATGCTGTTGAGCTTTATGGGTAATGGCTTTTAATATGCATGTGTTGTTCCATCTTGACGGTAAGCCTGAGTATGTGGCGTCATACAAGACGGTGATCCGGGGTGGATGCAAGTGGCGTCTTGCACTATGTGTGGGTATTTTGCGTATATAAATCATGCATTTCTCTGGCCAGTAGAATAGAATTGACACACATGACATGATTATCTGCTGCATTGCACTATTTTAGAACTGATGATGATAAACTGCTTTTGAACTTATATTGCACATGTAAGTGAGCTTGGGGTGGAAGATCCTTGAGGACCCCTTGCCTTACTGAGATTTATTGTTTAGAGATCTCACCCCATGTTTGGGGAATGCTTATTTCAGGTTCAGGTAGTATGGGAACTGATGCCTCTGGCGGCAGGAGGCCAGAGCTTAGTTGATGTTTAGTGCTGTTCATATTATGCTGGCATGACTGGATTAGATGATGTTTATGTTTTCTGTCATTTATGATTATTGAGTTGAGACTTATGTTGGGCTTTGTTGCCTTATTTGGGTGAGCATGGGAGTTGTCCATGCCACTATGTTGTCAGTACTTTTGAGTTGAGTTGTATAAATTGTTAGATGATCCGGTCTACGTATTGTAGTTCCGTGACTAGAGACTCTTACTTATCTTATTTAATTAATGAGGTATTTCAGTTAGCTGTTTATTGCAATGTACATACATGCGATATTTTGAAAATGTTAAGTAATCATGTTGGTAATGATTAATGACATCATAATTGAAAAGAAAAAGATATTCCGCATTTTTAATTAAGCGCAGCTTAATACGATAGTGATAACATTACCGGATATATACGAGGTGTTACATTTATGGTATCAGAGCAATGGTTCGAGGGAAAAGCCTGTATGTATTGCAATAGCTAGGATGTCTGGTTGCGTCTGTCTTGTGTGTTTATTCCGTCGAATTTTATTATGTTAATGCATACGTAATCACATTGCGTGGGCCTGATCAACTCATAATTTGTGTAACTTGTGCAGAGTCATGGTAAGGTCTGGGAGAACACGAGAGACTTCTGAGAATCAACCCGATCCTATCCTGACTGCATTGGCTGAGATGCAAGCGGCCAGGTTAGCCGATCAAGAGGCCACTAGATTGGCCAACGCGACAATGATGGACGTTGTTCGCGAGATGAATTTGATAGCCGCAGAAGAGGTTCGTGAAGCGAACCGGAGGACCACTGAGGATGTCCTCGAGGCGAACAGGATGGCGAACATGTCGATGATGAGAGTCATGTTGGAGGAGATGAGGGTTGGTCTTGCTGTAGGTCAGTTTCCACCGCCACCGCCGCTTCTACTTAGTGTTCAGGATGAGAGCCTGAGTCACTTTGGTAGTGCTACTCATGTCGCTGAGACGATGGATACCCTTGTGGAGCCTGCTGAGGATCGTGACGTGATTGATCACCGGCTGAATGCTTTCAGGAAGCATAAGCCACCTGTGTTTGATGGGTCTTTGGGTCTTATTGCTGTAGCGAGATGGCTACAGGCGCTGGACAAGATATTCCGGGTCATGCAGTGTACAGACCCGCAGAAGCTGATGTTCTCGACTTACATGCTGGAGGGCGATGCCCATGAGTGGTGGACGAACACCTCTCGTGCTTATGAGATGCAGGGTCATGTCATGACGTGACCATTCTTCGAGGAATGCTTTTTGGGCAAGTACTTTCACTACGATGCGCAGGAGAGGAAGCAGGGGGAATTTGATAGATTGGTTCAGGGCTCGATGTCTGTTGACGAGTACCTGGCCAAGTTTAATGAGCTTGTGAAGTTTGCGCACTTCCGGATGGTTCCTCCTACTCCGATGTTTCTGGCTGCTAAGTTCTGCAGAGGACTTAGTGAGGTGATTGCTGAGCATATTGCTGGAGCTGCTTCGAGGGATTTTGGTACACTGGTTTAGCAGTGTAAGTACATTGAGGATGTCTGCATAGCAAGCAAGGCCAAGAGGGCCAAGGTCGACGAGACCAAGGGGACTGTTAGTTCCACTCCTCCTCCTACTTCTTGGAAGGACAAGAAGTTTACTAGGAAGGGCAAAGGTAAACAGTTGGCGACTAGGCAGGCGCCTGGTGAGTTTAAGAGGACTGCTTCACAGCAGGGGAGTTTTGCTAGGCCTCCTTCCACTCCGAGATGTGCGGGGTGCGGAAAGGAGCATGCTGGTCATTGTGCTTCGGGTCAGCTGATCTGCTTCCAGTGTGGCAAGGAGGGCCACTTCTCTAGAGATTGTCTGTCGTCTACGGCGAGAGCTGCAGCTGTTCAGGCAGTTCCTTTGCAGATGGTTCCGATGGCTTCTACTTCGGCACTTGCGGTGCCACCTTCTGTTGGGCGTGTGTACACCTTGGATAGGCAGCAGTCGGACCGCGCTCCGAACCTTGTTAGAGGTACTGTGTCTATTAGTGGTTTTGCTGTTGATGCATTGTTTGATTCCGGGGCTACGCATTCGTTTGTTGCTACCTCGATTGCTTTGGGGCTTGAGTTGCCCATGTCTGTGCTTTCTCCACCGTTGCGGGTGACTACCGCCACTGGAGAAATTTTTGATTCTACCACTGTACATCGCGATGTAGCGTTTCAGTGGGACGATCGTGAGTTCTCGGTGGATCTGATAGGATTGCCGATGGCCAACTTGGAGATTATTCTGGGCATGGATTGGTTGTCTAGAAATTGTGCACTGATTGATTGCTGTGCAAAGCGCGTGGTGATGTCTCCATGTGATTCCACAGCTAGTTCCTCGCCATATATTTCATTGCTGCAGGCTAGGAAGGCCTTGAGAGCAGGGGCATTCGGTTATGTCATGTTGGGAGATTTGGTGAGTGGGAACAGGAGGATATCACCGGCATTCCTGTGGTGGGGAAGTTCCTCGAGGTGTTTCCTGAGGAGATTCCTGAGTTTCCTCCACAGCGGGAAATAGAGTACTCCATTGATTTGATGCCTGGTGTGGGGCCGATTTCTTTAGCTCCATATCGGATGTCGCCACCGGAGTTGGCTGAGCTGAAGAAGCATATTGAAGATCTTTCAGTGAAAGATTTCATTGGACCGAGTGTGTCTCCTTGGGGAGCACCGGTCATCTTTGTGAAGAAGAAGGACGGGACAATGCGATTGTGCACCGACTACAGGCAGTTGAACAAGGTGACGATCAAGAACAAGTATCCCCTTCCTCGGATTGATGATCTGTTGGATCAGCTCAGGGGTGCTTGTGTGTATTCAAAGATTGATCTCCGGTCCGGATACCATCAGATTCGGGTGAAGCCGGAGAATGTCCCTAAGACCGCGTTTCGTTCGAGATACGGTCACTTTGAGTATTTGGTGATCCCGTTTGGACTCACCAGTGCGCCGGCAGTGTTCATGGATTACATGGACAGGATTTTCCAGCCGTATCTGGATCAGTTGTTGATCGTCTTTATTGATGACATTCTGATTTACTCCAAGACTGAGGAGGAGAATGCGGAGCATTTGAGGATTGTTCTGCAAGTGCTGAAGGAGAAAAAGCTTTATACTAAGCCTTCTAAGTGTGAGTTTTGGCTCAAATCAGTCAAGTTTCTGGGGCATGTGATTTCAGCGGATGGAGTTGCAGTGGATCTCAACAAGATTAAAGCCGTGCTGGATTGGGAGAGGCCCAAGACAGTTACGGAGGTGAGGAGCTTCTTAGGTTTGGCAGGTTACTATCGGAGGTTCATCAAGGGTTTCTCCACGATGGTTCTCCCTTTGACTCGCCTTACCCAAAAGGAGACTCCATTTGTGTGGACTCACGAGTGTGAGGCGTTCTTTCTGGAGTTGAAGGAGAAATTGACTACTTCACCTGTGTTGGTTCTTCCTGATCCTGAGGAGCAGTTTGAGCTTTATTGTGATGCTTCTGGAAAGGGGCTGGGCTGTGTGTTGATGCAGTCTAGTAGAGCTGTTGCTTTTGCTTCGAGGCAGTTGAAGCCTCATGAGGAGAACTACCCGACTCATGATTTAGAGTTGGCTGCGATTGTGTTTGCTTTCAAGATTTGGAGGCATTACCTGTTCGGTATGCAGTTTGCGGTGTTCAGTGACCACAAGAGCTTGAAGTATCTGTTTGATCAGAAGGAGCTGAACATGAGGCAGAGGAGATGGATGAAATTTCTGAAGGACTACGACTTTGAGTTGAAGTACCATCCTGGCAAGGCCAATGTGGTAGCTGATGCTTTGAGTCAGAAATCCATGAGTCTATCCAGTTTGACGATGGGTGACTTCGACCTCATAGAGAAGTTTCGAGATCTGAAGGTGACAACCTAGTTTGGGGGTGCACTTCTCGAGATGGAGACTGTGAGAGTCAGGAATGAGCTTATGGAGAAGATCCACGAGGCGCAAGTGCAGAGAGAGTTTCTCGACTACGTGAAGAATCAGGACGGTGTGTCTTGGAATGAGGATGGACTTCTGTTGTTTCAGAAGCGTGTTGTGATTCCTCGAGGTCCTTTGACCGAAGAGGTTATGGCGGAGACCCATAAGGGATAGTTTACTATTCACCCTGGTGCCACAAAGATGTACCAAGACCTGAAGAGGAATTTCTGGTGGCCAGGAATGAAGAAGGACATAGCTGTGTATGTGTTCAAGTGTTTGATATGTCAGAAGGTGAAGATTGAACATCGTAAGCCGTCTGGTAAACTTCAACCTCGTGAGATTCCAGAATGGAAATGGGAGAGCATTTCCATGGACTTCGTGTGGGTTTGCCGAAGACTCAGGTTGGCTGTGACTCGATATGGGTCATTATGGACAGACTGACGAAGTCTGCCCATTTTCTTCCAGTGAAGGTGAGCTTCACTACTGAGCAGTTGCCCAAACTGTAAGTTCGCGAGATCGTGAGGCTTCACGGGGTGCCCGAGAGTATCATCAGTGATAGGACCCGAAGTTCACATCTCGGTTCTGGGAGGCGCTGCAGGGAGCTTTTGGTACTCAGTTGAGATTGAGTACAACCTATCACCCTCAGACTGATGGACAGACTGAGCAGACTATCCAGACTTTGGAGGACATGTTGCGGGCTTGCACGTTGGAGCAGGTCTCGACATGGGATAGGTACCTTCCGTTGGTTGAGTTTTCGTATAACAACAGTTTCCATGCAGCCTGGGCATGGCACCCTATGAGGCGCTCTACGGTAGGAGGTGTCGTACACCTACCTGCTGGTCTGAGGTTGGGGATCGTGAGTTGTTTGGCATGGACTTTGTCCAAGATACTACCCTACAGATCCAGATGATTAGGGAAAAGCTGAAGCAGGCGCAGAATCGCCAGAAGAGTTACTACGACGTCAAGCATCGTCCACTGGAGTTTAGTGAGGGTGAGCACGTGTTTGTGAGACTTTCACCTGTCACCGGTGTTGGACGGGCACTCGGAGTGAGGAAGCTGAGCTCACGGTTTATTGGGCCATACCAGATTCTTGGTAGAGTAGGACCTGTTGCCTACCGGCTTGCCTTGCCTCCGAACTTGGCCAACATTCACGACGTGTTTCACGTGTCTCAGCTACGGAAGTATGTAGCGGACCCTTCGCACGTGGTGCAACCGGATGATGTGGAGGTTCGGGAGAACTTGAAAACTCTCATCGGACCACTCAAGATTCTCGATCGTGGCGAGAAGCAGTTGAGGAGCAAGATCATTCTGATGGTCAAAGTGCAATGGTCAGGAAGAACTCCTGAGGAGTGTACCTGGGAGCGAGAGGACGAGCTTCTCCGGCAGTATCCTGATTTCCGAGACAAGTATATTCTGATTTTGAGGACAAAATCCTAAAAAGTTGGGGTGAATGTAAGAACCTGCACCGTTAACTAAGGAAATTAATCAGTTAATTATGAGTTTAATGAGATAATTCCATAATTAGCCCTAATAATTATTATGAGGCTCTAATAATTATAGTAAGTGAGTAATAATGTTGAAAGTCACTTTTCTCACGAAAAGTGCAGATACCGGTTCTGCTAGTCGGTATAAATGCGTACCGAAAAAGTATCCCAGAAAATTATAATAAGTGCATGATAATTACTAGAATAATATGTAGGACTTGTAAAACGAGTTTCAAGTTAAAATAATGAGAACTGGTGCCAGAAACTGGTACTGGCTATGAAAAACGCGTACCGGAAAGGTGCTCCGAAAAATATAAGAAAAATATGATAATTCTTGTAAAATTGAGTAGGTTAAGAATCCTGAGTTTGGGATTAAAATGCTAAGAGTAGAAATTAAAGCTAATACTGTGTGTTAGTGACTTAAACCGCCTATATATAGTGTTTAGCACTAAAACCTAGGCTGATACTCAGCCATTTGGACGTGAATGGCTGCTGGTGGCTGCTTCTCTTTGCCTTCTCCACCATTTCTTGACCTTCCTTGTAGCTTTTCTTCACATTTCCTTCACCAATCATCCTTGTGTGAGTGAGATATAGCCTTGGGAGTGGGTGGAAGACTTTCTTGCTGAGTTTGAGCTGCTGTGTGAGAGGTTGTGGTTGCTGCCTCTGTGTTTGTGGAGGGAGTACACCTTTGGCTTGGCATTTGTGGTGCCAAGGAGTCACCTTTTGGTGCAAGAACCAACCTTTGGTGGAGCATCTTCGTTTTGGGACCAAGTCAGAACCTTGGGAGTTGGTTGTGAGCTCCAAGAGCCTTCCATTTCTGAGTTTGAAGCTTTGGTGAGTTGCCTAACCTTGATCATGAGTTTAAATGATTTAAAGCTGGTGTCTTTGCATGTAAATGGGTTAAGCAAGTAATTAACATGTGTATGAACCTGTATAGACCTAAAAATGTAGTCTTGAACGCATTTAATTGGTAAAAGTTAGACCTTTGTTAGATATCTTCGCGAAATGCAAACACTGCATTCTGTCGCGAAATATCCGGATATTTGGTCGATAAATATCCGGATATTGATATCCGGATATGAGGATCTGGATATCTGGATATTGTCAGTGAGATATCCGGATATTGATATCCGGATATGCCCCCGACGTATATCCGGATATTCTAGGATTTCGAAGAACAGTAGCTGTATTGTTCATACAGTAGGCTATTGGAGGTTTGTGGACCCTAGATTGATGAAGTTGAACTTCTGTAATAATTGAACTAAGTCAGAATCAAGTGATTAAGGGCTTATGGCTTTGTGGGAAGCCTCAAGACGTAAAACTTAAAAGGAAAACGTAGTCTTTATGTTTATGCTATTGAGCTATGAATGTTGATATGCTTGCTGGTCCTAAATCAGATTGTGATCTGCTGTGTTTGGACATTGAGCTTGTGTGGACTTGACTTGGATTGATTGCTTAAGAGGTAAGCTTTCGTGTCCTCGGTTTAACCGTGTTGTGGTTCCACCATGTCCCATGGGGGTATGGTTATATGCATGTTGTGTTACATGCTTTGAATACTTGAAATGTTGTTGAGCTTTATGTGTAATGGCTTTTAATATGCATGTGTTGTTCCATCTTGACGGTAAGCCTGAGTATGTGGCGTTATACAAGATGGTGATTCGAGGTGGATGCAAGTGGCGTCTTGCACTATGTGTGGTATTTGGCGTATATAAATCCTACATTTCTCTGCCAGTAGAATAGAATTTACACACATGACATGATTATCTGCTGCATTGCACTATTTTAGAACTGATGATGATAAACTGCTTTTGAACTTATATTGCACATGTAAGTGAGTTTGGGGTGGAAGATCCTTGAGGACCCCTTGCCTTACTGAGATTTCTTGTTTAGAGATCTCACCCCACGTTTGGGGAATGCTTATTTCAGGTTCAGGTAGTATGGGGACTGATGTCTTTGGTGGGAGGAGGCCAGAGCTTAGTTGATGTTTAGTGCTATTCATATTATGCTGGCATGACTTGATTGGATGTTGTTTATGTTTTCCGCCTTTATCTTTATGTTGCTATTGAGTTGAGACTTATGTGGGCTTTGTTGCCTTATTTGGGGTGAGCATGGGAGTTGTCCATGCCACCATGTTGTTAGTACTTTTGAGTTGAGTTGTATAAACTGTTAGATGGTCCGGTCTACGTTTTGTAGTTCCGTGACTAGAGACTCATACTTATGTTATTTAATTAATGAGGTATTTCAGTTAGCTGTTTATTGCAATGTACATACAAGCGATGTTTTGAAAATGGTTAAGTAATCAAGTTGGTAATGATTAATGACATCATAATTGAAAAGAAAAAAGATATTCTGCATTTTTAATTAAGCGCAGCTTAATACGATAGTGATAACATTACCGGATATATACGGGGTGTTACATGACCCTTGCATCGAAGGCCCTATTTGGTCCCTGAGAAATTTATCGAGGCCCTATTTTGTTCTTAACACTAAAAAAATGGACATGAACACAGAGTCAACTGATTGAGATTACCATTTTGTAAATGTTTGATTCTGCAATCATGTTAATTATTCTTCAAAGTACATCTTTTCCAACTCTACCTGATACTTTGAGTTTCTCATGTTCAGATACTTGGTATTTAATATTTTAGCATTTCATTTCCTTTTCTTTCTCCATTGCTTAGGTTCATTAGATACACCCTTAAAAATGGGGTGAAAAATTCAGGGATGAGTCCTGTGTGAAAAAATTGTATGAGAAAACTCACCCACATATTTTTTACAAACATTCTTTGAGGATGTATAAACTAACTATAAGCATGAAAACTCAGTCTCAGAATAGCTCATTATTACGTACAAGGATTTATTCAATTCCTCAATTTTTGCACTATAAGCTACTTGAACTATTTAATACATTGTTCTGTTGTCTCATTTAATATGTTCCCTTTTATGAAAATATTACATGTTCCTCTACGAATTTGCAGTATAGCAGAAATCATTCATTGCCTTGATGCCTTGTGATATACTATTAAATATGAACACTTTTATCTATCCTTTAACTATACAATAGTTATTTAATCAACAAAAGTTTTCTACCTTCAGGGTGCCATTCTAGCAGTTGTTGGCGGAGGTAGTGCATTAGTCAAGCTTTGGGACACTACCACATGGGATCTTATTGAAACTCTATCAATTCCTCGTCCAGAAGGACCCAAGCCTACAGACAAAATTAGCAGCAAGAAATTTGTCCTGTCAGTTTCATGGAGCCTTGATGGGAAACGACTTGCTTGTGGCTCAATGGATGGCACCATTTCTGTTTTTGATGTACCACGTGCCAGATTTTTCCATCACCTTGAAGGCCACAACATGCCTGTGCGATCTCTTGTTTATTCTCCTTATGATCCAAGACTACTGTTTTCAGCTTCTGACGATGGTAATGTCCACATGTATGATGCTGACGAGAAGGCTTTAGTTGGGACCATGTCAGGTCATGCTAGTTGGGTATTATGTGTGGATGTGAGCCCTGATGGGGCAGCCATTGCCACAGGTTCAAGTGATAGAACTGTAAGGCTGTGGGATCTTAACATTAGTACTTAATTCTAAATCACCCTAATCTTCCTTCCACCCTTCTGCACAAAATAATGAGCAATATTAATATAATTCCTTGTTCTAAATTTTGTCTTTGGTGCATAACATTAGTACTTATTTTCTACCCAAAAGAAAAAGGGGGGTGTTTCTAATTGTTTAAGTTACAATTCTTTGCATGAACTTTTACTGATACGGGAGTATAGATTCTTGAAGAAATTTTGTTGATTTAATTTTTCCTTGATTCTTGAAGATTAACAAAGATGGGAGCCCTTCGATAAATTTGATTCTGTGTTCATGTCCATTTTTTTAGTGTTAAGGACCAAATAGGGTCTCGATAAATTTGTCAGGGACCAAATAGGGCCTTCGATGCTAAGGTCAGCTGTCCAAAACTCCAAGAAGACATAAAACGACGTCGTATTACTTCCATGCTGGCATACTTAACGGTGACTCAGCAAAGTAACGGTCCATGTGTGCTTCGTTAGTTGGGCCGTCAGATGCCAACTAACGGAAGGACAAACGTGGCCCTTTTTTCAAATATTAGGGACTAAAATGAGCCTTTTTTATTGTTCGGGACTAAAATGTGCCTCGTGAAAATTGCCAGGGACGAAAAGAGATATTTACTCTAAATTTTAATTAACTTTTTTTTAATTGGTGGGTTGGTGGTTTGACCCGCCAACCCACCATAAAACGTAGGGGTGGCAATTTGTGACACGATCCGCGAACCCGACCCGGACCCGGACCCGACATGAATTTTTCGTGTTTGGGTCAACTCGTGTAATAAATGGGTCGTGTTCAGGTTGAAAAATAATAACCCGCAAAAATTCGTGTCGGGTCACGGGTTAACCTGTGAACCCGCTCTGACCCGTAAAAATTATTTTTAATTTATTTTTTAAGGATATTATAGTCATTTTACTCTATGGTATAAAAGGAAAAGAAAAACTTAAGGTTTCAACTTTCAATTCAACACCCATCTCACGGCAGCAGCTCTCGCATCTCTTTCTCTCAAATGCATTTTCGTCTCTGTGGTTGCAACCGAAACAGATTCTTTCGTCTCTCAAACTAACTTAGGCTAAGATTCTTTCGTCTCTGTGCGTAAACAACCTTTCAAGTCCGTTAGGAACCACCTCAGGAAGGGTGGAGGCTGGGCTTAGTCCCTCACCGTCAGCGGAACGCCTTGTGATTTGTTCCTTTTGTTCGTTTAAGATTTGAATCTTTTGTGTTTTTTTAAATTTTTTCCTTTTTCTGTTTTTGGAGGTGCTTTTTACTGATTGTGGTTTGATGTTTTTCTGGGCTTTCTATGAATAATTATTTGTATATATCGTTTCTTAGCTAATAGTTTTGTTTTTTCTCGTTGCTTGTTTGGCAACAGAAGCCATTAACAAGTTTTGTTTTTATCGGTTCTTTTTTATCGTTTTTTATATATATTCACCGATTCAAAATTGGTCCTATCAAGATGCAATGGGTGTCCAATTTGTGGGGGATTAGGCTGCTTTGGTTTCTTTTGTTTTCTGTCTTATATCCTTATATATATGTCCCACAATTTGGTTTATTCATGTATGTCAAGGTAATTCAATCTCCAATATTTCAACATAATATACAATTTGATTTGAATTGGATAAATAGATGTAATATGCTTTAAATTAATTTCATTTTATGTTTACTCGGGTCGGGTTGGGTCGTGTAAAAATAGGTTGTGCTCAAATTCGGGTTGTATCGTGTCAACCCGTGTAATTAGTAGGTCGTGTTCGGGTTAAGTTTTATAACACGAATTGTTAACCGTGTCGTGTTCGGGTTTAGCCTATTCGTGTTCGTGTCAGAACCAGGTTGACCCGAACCCGACCCATGAACACGAATTGCCACCCCTAATAAAACAGGGTGGGTTCAATTTTTCAACCCATATTCAATGGCGGACCAACCCGCCCGCGCCGTTTTTGACGGGTCGGGGCGGACCGACTCAAATTGTCACCCCTAATTCAAGTTCAATAAACTATCGTGTGAGGGGATGTACTAAAAATAATAACATAAAATCATAGGATAAAATATTATATCTACTTTTTTCATGACTAGTTTTTCTACTTATCTCCAAAACTTTTAGATTAAAATATTAAAAGACAAGCAAAAACGTGAAGGTTATTTTTTTAGTTAAGATTAACGATAGAAGAGATCACAGTTTTTTTTGAACTTTTTTTTATCTATTTTTCCTTTTTTATGTCATAAAAATATTTTCAATTTATAATTATCAAGAGAAAATTTACTTTAAATTTAATTATGCTTATTGGTTATAATTTATTTAACTTTGGTTCAGTCTTCCAACTGTGCTTTATGTTGTTTACTAATGATTGAAACCTCATTTTACTACCTATTTATTGGAATGAGGGCTAAAAAATTCATTTATTATTTTTTAAATAAAAAATTACGAATTTATGACAGTTTTAAAAATAATTACATATTTATTGCACAATATCACGTCCAATTTGGACGTCACCAATCACGTCTAAATTGAGCGTCACTCAAGAGGCAATCACGCCTAATTTAGGCGTCACTCATCAGGTGTTGACACATGTCACATTGTTTTTTCCAAAAAAAAAATTAACAATTTAATCGTAAAACTTCTGAAGGTCATATCTTTTGACTCGGGTATTCAAATCAGGTAATTCTTTTTTTGATTCCACATAACTTTTCAAGATCTATGCAATGACATCTCATTTGACATATTTTATTTCTCACAAACACAATTTAAATTTGCAAGAATGGTATTATAAGAGTGGTTAAACTCAAAAGCCTCTGAGTTCTTGGTTTGTGATTTAATATAAAAAAATAAATAAAGATTTGATTTGTGATTTAAATTAAAAAATAACAATTATTATTAATAAGGAAAACAAAATAAAGATTTGATTTGTGATTTAAACTCAAAAATCAATTTGAAAAATCTGTATTAATAAAGGAAATAAATAAATAAATATTCTAAATATCTAAGGAATAAGGATTTTATTTTTGAAAAATATTCATAAGCCATCATTAATTTCAGACCACGAATAATAACCCATAAACTTATAGCATTAATCATTAATTTTCAAAAATAAAATATTTCTTCCTTAGAGATTTAGAATATTTATTTGAAAAAACTGTATTAATAAAGGAAATAATTAAATAAATATTCTAAATATCTAAGGAAGAAGGATTTTATTTTTGAAAAACATTCATAAGTCATCATTAATTTCAGACCACGAATAATAACCCAGAAGCTTATAGCATTAATCATTAATTCCAAAAATAAAATACTTCTTCCTTACAGATTCATAATATTTATTTGAAAAATCTGTATTAATAAAGAAAATAATTAAATAAATATTCTAAATCTCTAAGGAAGAAGGATTTTATTTTTGAAAAATATTCATAAGCCATCATTAATTTCAGATCAAGAACAATAACCCAGAAGCTTATAGCATTAATCATTAATTTCAAAAATAAAATCCTTCTTCCTTAGAGAAGTAGAATATTTATTTAATTATTTTCTTTATTAATACAGATTTTTTAAATTGATTTTTGAGTTTAAATCACAAATCAAATCTTTATTTTGTTTTCCTTATTATTAATAATTTTTATTTTTATTTTTAATTTAAATCACAAACCAAATCTTTATTTATTTTTTTATATTAAATCACAAACCCAGAACTTAGAGTCTTCTGAGTTTTACCACTCTTATAATACCATTTTTGTAAATTTAAATTGTGTTTGTGAGAAATAAAATATGTCAAATGAAATTTCATTGCGTAGATCTCGAAAAGTTATGTGGAATCAAAAACAAATTACCTGATTTGGATACTCGAGTCAAAAGCTATGGCCTTCAGAAGTTTTACGATTAAATTGTTAATTTATTTTTTCGAAAAAAATGTGACACGCGTCAACACCTGATGAGTGACATCTAAATTAGGCGTGATTGCCTCTTGAGTGACTCCCAATTTAGACGTGATTGATGACTCCCAAATTAGACGTGATATTGTGCAATGAATGTGTAATTATTCTCAAAACTGTCATAAATTCATAATTTTTTATTTAAAAATCAATATATCAATTTTTTCCCCTTGGAATGAGCCTATCTCTTTTTTTTTATTAGATAAAGCGAAAAAGCATTCATCGTCTCTCTTTGTCCTTGAAATCCTCTTTTGTTATCTTTAGCAAGTGTTTATATAGGTCGAAACTTTAAGGAAATGCATTATAATGTTCCCAAAAATATTTTTTAATTTTTACTTTAGACAAATTTATGAGTAAAGTCCATTTTGGGCCTCTAACAAAAAATAAGGTCTCCACTTTCGTCCTTTACAAAAAAATACCCATATTAGTCTTTTTTTAGGGATTAAATTGGATCTTTATTGAATTTCTGAGGGACTACATTTACAAAGAACTTGAATTGTAAAGGTATCAAAAGTTGACTTTTTTTTGTAAGGGACGAAAGTGGCGATCGTGTTTTTTGTTAGGGATCCAAAATGGGCTTTACTTAAAATTTATTATGTTTTTTAGATAACTTAACAAATTTCTTAGACTTTGTCATTCCAATTGTAAACAAGATATGTTTTCTGCTTCTACTATAAAACGTAGGGATGTGCATGAGTTAAACAGAACCGGATTTTTTTAAAAATCAAATCGAATTGGTTTAAATGGTTCGGTTCGAAAGTGGTTCGATTCGGTTCAAAATTGGTTCAGTTCGAAAGTGGTTCGGTTCGAAAGTGGTTCGGTTCGGTTCAAAACTGGTTCGGTTCGAAAGTGGTTCGGTTCGATTCCGAAGTGGTTCGGAACCGATTCGAAACCGGTTCGGGTCGACCCTCTTTTGAAAAGAAAAAAAATTTAAAAATTTAAAAATAAAGTTATAAAAATTAATTTGGTTCGGTTGAAAAATGGTTCGGTTCGGTTTGGAAACGGTTCGGTTATTAAACCGGTTCTAAAAATCGGTTCGGTTCTTAAACCGGTTCTAAAAACTAGTTCGGTTCATGAACCGATTCTTTAAAAAC